ATTCATGTCTAATACAGGCCTCTAACTGTTCAATCGTCTTGGGCCTTTTTTGTCGCACCTTCCTCTTTATGATGCACCAAATGTTCTCTATAGGTGAAAGATCTGGACTGCAGGCTGGCCATTTCAGTACCCGGATCCTTCTCCTACGTAGCCATGATGTTGTGATTGCTGCAGAATGTGGTCTGGCATTATCGTGTAGAAAAATGCAGGGTCTTCCCTGAAAGAGATGATGTCTAGATGGGAGCATATGTTGTTCTAGAACCTGAACATAGTTCCCTGCATTAATGGTGCCTTTCCAGACATGCAAGTTGCCCATGCCACAAGCGCTCATGCAACCCCATACCATCAGTGATGCAGGCTTCTGAATGGAGTGTTGATAACAACTTGGGCTATCCTTGTCCTCTCTGGTCCGGATGACATGGCGTCCCAGTGTTCCATAAAAAACTTCAAATCATGACTCATCTGACCACAGAACAGTCTTCCATTTTGCCACACTCCATTTTAAATGACCCCTGGCCCAGTGCAAACGTCTGAGCTTGTGGAGCTTGCTTAGAAATGGCTTTCTCTTTGCACTGTAGAGTTTCAGCAGGCAACGGCAGATGGCACGGTGGATTGTGTTCACTGACAGTGCTTTCTGGATGTATTTCTGAGCCCAGTGGCATTCCTGTTTGAGGTGCAGTGATGTTTAAGGGCCCGGAGATCACGAGCATCCAGTAGAGTTTTACGGCCTTGACCCTTACGCACAGCGATTGTTCCAGATTCTTTGAATTTTTTGATGATGTTATGCATGGTTGATGATGATAACTTAAAAGTCTTTGCTATTTTACGCTGGGTAACACCATTCTGGTATTGCTGCACTATCTTTCTGCGTAACAATGGTGGAATTGATGATCCTCTTACCATCTTGGCTTCTGAGAGACACTGACACTCTGAGAAGCTCTTTTTATACCCAATCATGTTGTCAATTGACCTAATTAGTGTTAATTGGTCTTCCAGCTTTTCGTTATAAGCTCAATTTCCTTTTTCCAGCCACTCATTGCTACTTGTCCCAATTTTGGGGGGATTTGTTGACACTGTGAAATTTTGAATCAACATATTTTTCCTTTAAAATGTTACATTTACTCAGATTAAACTTTTGATCTGTCATCTATGTTATATTACGAATAAAATATTGACATTTGCCATCTCCACATCATTGCATTCAGTTTTTATTCACAATTTGTTTAGTGTCCCAACTTTTTTGGAATCCTGTTTGTATATATATAAAAAACAGCGCCTTTTTATATCGGTGAGTTATTTTGATGGAATGGCCGATATTTAACTTTATCGTTAATATCGACTGATACCATGCTGATAATATCAGGCATCCCTAATGAATACCAAAGCACAAAAAGTGTTTCTGTCTTTGTCCCACAGGTGGAAGTGGAGCACATAAAGAAGAATTTGTCCAAATGAGGACTAAAGCATCTTTATCATCTGGCTCTGATTACACCCGAGGCCACATCTTGACAAAAACATTCACTGTTGGTTTTGACACATTAGCCAAAATTATGTTTGTGCCAAATGATCATCATGGTCAGCAATGGTTCAGCACCATGGGATCTGCCACCTTTCCTCATCTGCCGCCTTATCCTGTGTTTACTTTTACTTTTCTAAAAGAGGCTCTTCTGTTCACTTTACTGCTGTCTTGCTGTGCCACTGGTACTGACTGACCGCGGCTTGCCGCTGCGCGTTGTCATGGTCACGGAACAAAGATGTGGAGCTGTGGCTACCATAGTGACCTCATTGGTACTTTAAAATTCTGATGGCAAAAAAACACTTCAACTTCTGTAGCCCTGTCAAATCAGAAGACCTCTGTGATGTTCTGCGTCCACTTTGTGGCCTTCACCTTCTTTCTGTGTATGCATGTGTGTGTGTGTGTGTGCTTGTTTTTCTAATGTGAGGACCATGTGTTGTAGAGATTTAAAGTTTAAACTTTTTGGAAAGACATTAGCTGCATTTCGATTCCAACAAACATTCTTTAGCATTGAACAGTTTAAAGCAGATGACTCAGAACTTGAATAATGTTCAAGGGACATGCATTTTCCCCAGAAAGAGTCCTTTCTCTTTTCTATGCCCATCGTTTTTCTATTTGTGCCACGACTTTATTACCAAATTTCTTTGGTTTCATTTAGTTTTTTTTTTTTTTCATTTTTATTGTTGATCATCAAATTGAAGAGGGACCAATGCTTAAGTGCTTGACTTTTTGTATGTACAAGATAAACAACTTCATCAAAATACAAACAAAAAAATCCTACAAACCAGACAATTTGTAGCATCAGTTATATCAGAGTGTTATCATGAAAACTTGCAGGAATTATTTTCACATCCCATATTTTTATCCAGTTAATCCATCAGCCATCCATCCATCCATTATCTTTACCCGTTTATTCCATTTTGGGTCACGGGGGTCGCTGGTGCCCATGTCCAGCAATCACTGTGCGAGGGGCGGGGTACGCCCTGGACAGGTCGCAAGTCCATCACAGGGCCACATAGAGACAAACGAGACAAACAACCATTCACTCTCTGACTCACACCTAGGGACAATTTAGAGTTACTTATCAGCCTAACATGCATGTTTTTAGTTTGTGGGAGGAAACTAGAGTACACGGAGAAAACATTCAAACTCCACCCAGAAAGTTGCCAAGCTGGGAGACCTGCACCCCACCTCTTACACAGTGACTACTGGATATGGGCACCAGTGACCCCCATGACCTGAAAAGGAAAAAGTGGTTAAAGATAATGGATGGATGGATATTATATAATAATATGTAATAATATTATAATTAAATGTCCTGCAGTGTTTGATGTTTTTAACATTCCTGCTGACTTAGGGTCAAAATGACTTTTGGGACCTTTTAGTTTAAAAATACCTCATAAGTCATTTTGATCTAAGGGCAGCAGGAGGGTTAAAATGCACTGCAGGCATGTGATTATGATGTATTACTCATTGTAGCCTCAAAAAAAGTATAAATTTTACCTCCAAACTAATGTTTGGCCTCATTTTGCTTTGCATTTAGTTAAATCTGCTGTGACACATCAGATGTTTGAGAAGGTTAATCGTGTAAACACAATACAAATCCTCTGAGCAGCATAATTAAAATAGTTTTAAATGGTTTTTATTTTGCATTGTTTAAAAGGAGAGTATGTTTCAGGGAAAACATGTCGGGAGTTTATTTAGCTTAGCATTGAAACTGGACATTGTTTAATAGATGTGAAACATTATTATTATTTTTTTATTTTTTTTAGATTTTTCAATTAAAAAGTTTTAAAAAATAAAATCCCCATACACCACCATTAAATACTCCAGCACACAATGTCTATAGTACAGATGACAAAACAAAACAATACACTGTTAAACAAAAAACCTTAGTTACATTACAGTTTATTTTTGTCATGACAATGGATTATAGATACTTGGATTTATATTTTTTCCTCATTTATTGTTCTCCTCAATGTGAAAGTTTATCTGAGATACCAAGTCATATTAAAGACATACGGATCTGTAAAATGAAAACGGCTTGTAGTGATAATTCAAAAGATGAATCTGCTTAAGTACATATACAGAATACTAAAAATGTGACACAGAAGCTGTTCATTTATTCATGCCAATCCACTGTTTGCCTTTTCTTTGCATATTGAAACCCCAAATGTTTCTTAAAATCCATGAAAATGAAGTGCCTCAATCCACTGGAAACATAGAAGGCGTTTAACTTGCAACAGCGACATTCACAGCACATTATAGTATATTTCTTATTTGCAGATAGAAGCAGATTTAAGCAAGAAGTCTTACAAAAATCTGATCAACTATAAAATACAAACGATTATTTTAAAGTCCATTTATCCCCTGCGGTTGTGCTAATTTTGCATTCAGTGGAAGTTGGTTTTTATTGTTGCCTATATATAGCCTTTTTGCTGTTTAGCTGATTTTATTTGAACGCACCTTATTTTTCTCGTTAATAAAGTGTTGCCTTTTAATTATAGAAACTCAAGAAGCACATTAAAAAATAAATTAACAAAGAAATAAACTCCCAATGTCATGCAAGTTGAAGTTGTATGCACAAATTTCCATTTTTTATTTATTTTTGCTTTTTATTTTTATCTAGAAATATTCAACGTGCAAGTAGCATTTAAAAACCAAATTGTGCAGCTGGTTTTGCCTTCAGATGAAGGGTATGTTTAACCACAGGGTTGACTGAATGTAGTCACTGGTCCTCACAGGCAGATGAAATGTGAACGTGCATATGTGTGAGTGTGAAAGGCAGCATGAACAATTGGTCTCTTTCTCATACGTGCACAGAATCTATGACAACCCGTCACTGTGGCCTTCCTGTTTTGGATTCCAAATCTTTTTTCTTTCTTTCTGTCTTTTCGTATGATGAAGAAAAAACTGCTACAACTGAGGCTACAAGTTGTTTCTTGACTTGGTCCTTTCTCTCCAGAATAGTGATTGAAAAAAAAATATATATGAATATATATATACTTTTATATTTCAGTGTAATAAAGAGGCTATTATGTATTCTATGTGTGGTTCTTGATTATAAATGCCATTTTTTTAGATTTCAATTGTACAAAGACCAGGCTGTGTAGTTATTCTTTTGCTATTATACTTATTCAGAGTAAATAATAAAAAAGAGCTTTAACAGGTCATCAGGTCTGGAAGAACAAAAAGAGAAGTTACTATAAAGGCCAAAGAAAACCACAGCATTTCTACAACTGCAGGATTCTTAGAAAACAATTATCATTCATACAAAAGAAAGAAGGGTATATATAGTTTTAGAATAATTAAAAAATGCAAGTATGGGGAATAATGATTTTTATTAATTTATTGCTTTATTTGTAGAGATGGTGAAACTGCAATGAAATCCTGTTATAGCTATTTGGGTACCACTTTACAATAAGGTTCCACTTATAGATGGCTAATAAATACTTTATAGGTATGTTATTAATTCCTCTATAAACACTTTATAAATTCATTCATTCAGCCTTTATTGATACAGGTTAATTCCATTGAGCTTCGGGGACTCATTTACAAGAGAGGCCTGATTTTAGCAAAGAATGATGACAACAGTGGATAATCATAACGGATGTGTACAAATTAAAAACTTTTTTTCATTAAATCATTAATAACTGTTTATTATGCATTAATTAAGGGTGACAGAGAGACTGACCAGTTTGTTGCCAAATAGTGAGCCAAATCTGTTCACGTATATATTTCATCTAGTGTTGTTATATTAAACATTTCAGACTAAGTTACTATCTTGTAAGCACAATAAGCATGTGTAAACCTATTTCTTTAACATATCAATCAACCTTTATTTAGACAGGTAAATCCCATTGAGCCTCGAGGACTCATTTACAAGAGAGACCTGATTTCAACAAAGAAAGACGACAACAATGGACAACAGCAACAACAATAAACAATTATAAAAAGTCATACTACAGGTTTTTTTTAACAAATAGGATGGCTA